ACTTTCACTTAGACAAGCCTTAGGTCACCGGAAAAATTACACGATGACTAAGTTCTTTCTTCCCGGTTAATGCTGGAATGACGCACAGCGATCTGTTCTCACTAATGTTCTGATACCATGTGAGAAGGCACGGGAGAAAATATGTTATTGATATTGGATGATAAATACAATACAAGAGGTCCCTATTTATAGCTATACACTACAAGGAGATATTACTCCTCTTCCAATGTGGGACAAGACTACACTATACATATCTATAAACTAACAGTCACAATGCAATGAAATCACCAAGAAACCACAATTAAAGTGTCAATTAAATGCTTAACTCCATATTATCATATGGGACATGCAATGACACATTTTATCTCCAATTTCTGCAATTCAGCAAACATAGTGAAAACCATCATTAAAACAATCAGAATATGAGCAATATATCCATAGGCCCATCACCTAGTTTCAAAACAAAGATTTAGAGATACCTTGGCTGTACCAGTATAGTTAACACTTTGTTTGTATGGAAATCCAGCTCACAGTGCATTTATGTATTTCTTTCACCAAATATCAAGTGCAGGTTGCTCATGGATCTTACTAAAGAACAAATAGAATGATGATTATCTTAAAAATCATCTCTAGAGTTTTGAAACTTATCGTTAACTCTCTCAACCTTGGTAATGTCTATTAGATCTTACTGCGCCCTTAGAGCATGTTGAAGTGTCCAATCTTTCTTCTTTTCCTGACGGTTCCAGGCTTCCAGTGTCATTTTCAGACATCCAAGTCCCCTGAGGCTCAATCATCTTTTTCTTTTAAATTTTTCCTGCTCATCTGTTGTCCCTAGGTTGTCAAAAGCATCTTTCAGCCAACTTTAAAACTTGATAATGACATGTGTCGCAACTTCTAATGGAAAATCATGGAAAAAGAGAAAATATGGAACAATCAAGTTAATTTTATGCTAATCTCTTGGCAGTCTTCTATACACAACAAGCATGATAATAGTCTGTCGTTAGCTTTATTCTCTTTAGTGGTCATGTATATTTACTTTATTGTTCATACTGTGTTCATTTTTTATACTTCTGTGTAATGGACGAAACTTTATCTACTCTTTCTGGCAGTTTATGACTTCAGAACACCAGTACATATCACGAAAGGATGAAGGAGATAGGATGATTGTATTTGAAAGAGGTGACCTAGTTTTCGTCTTTAATTTTCACTGGACAAATAGTTATTCAGACTATCGCATAGGCTGCCTGAAGCCTGGAAAATACAAGGTATGCTAAGTTGAAACATGTCTACTTCGATAGTACATTTACTCAATTCTTTCCTTTGAAATGGAGACCATCAGTTTTGTATAAGTAGTGCAACCGATTTATTTGACAATTGTAATGCATAATCAAAAAATGTTCTTTTGATTAATGAATCGTCAACTGTTCCCCATCGTGATCCCAATGGTTCATATTTCTCTGGTAAACATATTTGACAGAAAACTGATGTGGGTGATCCAAGTGAAAGCTCTTTTATGCCATCATCTTGGAACCTAAAATAAATCCATAGACTTCAGTTCTTTTCAGTACTATAGATAAATATGAAATGCAAAATCTGAATGCTGGTATTCTTTGACCATTAGTTTAGCTCTTCCCATACCTTTGCTTGCATTAGCCAATTTGTTAGATGATCAAGTGATTATTCAAGAATTGACACCTCAAGGTATTCACTTTCATATCAAGTGGTAGAACGATATTAAGGTTTTGTTAGATAGTTGATTTTATCAATGCAAATGTGAGGATGTGTTAGATTCAATTCAAAATCAGTACTTTATTGGAAACTAAGAATTTCTTGAAGAAACTCTGTAGTGGCGAACTCATGCTCTAATTTGGAGTTGGTCCATTTCCTGTATTTGATAAAGAGTAGGACATCCTGGTATCACACAATTGAGGTATCTTTTGGAAATGCTTAAAATAGGTGATTTCTAAGAACTTAAAGATTTCGGGATGCTGTCTTAAACTATCGCCTTCTTGATGCGGTCTATGCATTCAATTGATTTTCTTTTGACATGATTTAACTCAAATGTTGCACTTCCAGGTTGTCTTGGACTCGGATGATCCACTTTTTGGTGGCTTTGGAAGAATTGATCACAATGCTGAATTTTTCACCTTCGTAAGTAAAATCTCCCTCCATTATTTGTGTTATTTAATTTTCTTTCAGAAAGAAATTTCTATAAAAAATTCAATTTTGTCTATGCAGGAAGGGTGGTATGATGACCGTCCTAGTTCCTTTATGGTGTATGCACCTAGCAGAACGGCAGTGGTCTATGCACTAGTAGACAAAGTAGAAGAAGAAGTAGCTATTGAAGAATGAATGGACTTATTGAAAGATGCGAACACCACCCGGTTATCCAGATAAGCTTCTTGACAAGTCTGGCAATATTGCATTAGTCTTGGCGGAGTTTCATGTGACAAAGGTTTGCAGTTCTTTCCCCTACTAGCAGAGCAATATACGCAGAGATGAAGTGCTGAAGAAGCATGTAAAATCGATGAACTTATGTCAAACTGCTACACTAACTTCAGCAGGTTTTGCTTAGGAGTTCATATTGCATTCTGTAAATTATCATCTAGCTGAGCCAGTGGGTGGTAGCAGTAACATCTCTTTACATGTACAGCCAACTCGATATCAACTATATGACCTAGTATACAATAACTATAAAATGGAAATAGAGCTGATCTAATGATGTTTTATTGGGCTCAAAATTGGTGGCTAAAAGTGTTATTTAAAAAAAAAAAAAAACATTTAGCCTAAAGCCGTCCACCCAACTGCTTATAATATGTGCACAACCTATGTATACCGGATGGAAAATATAAATAGTTGATCCGGCCGGCTATTTGTATAAGATCCCTTTTTTCCCTTCCAAGTTTTGCTACCAATTTGCTGGCTCCTATGTTATTGTTGGGAGACTTTAAAATTCTGGCAGATTGTTGTTGAGGACAAAACCGACGTTTTAAATGCCCCACCAAAGCTCCAACAAGTATGTACACGAAAATTCATCATAATTTGTGTCAAATGAAGGAGGCTTGTTGTTGTGGTTGGTTTGGGGCTAAATTTGTTGTTTCTGCACATCAATTTACCTTCTTGATTATGATAGTTAGTTAACTCCCTCGCTCTTTTTCCATTGGTCGCCCAGTGATAAACTGGCATGTTCTTTAGTGGATTGATCATTAAATAGATATAAAATAGGCATAAAATTTTAACATCACCATAGAAAAAGATTGGATCTTTCGTCTTTGGACAAAACAACGTAATATCAATCTTAATGTTGGAAAAGATGAGAAGAGTATGATAAAGAGAGACGAGCTCAAGAAAGAAATAAGCAAAGCATTCATGATTTCACCTACACAAACCAAAATAATACAAACTCCATATTGCAAGCACCTGCTTTGTAAGGTGAAAGATGAAAAAAGTTGAACAAAGCAAAAGAAGTTATAGTAGGGTCCAAAAACACCATTGTCATGAAAAATCAACAGTGCACTTATAGTCAAGTGCTAACATAACTAGCCTCTGATGTGCTACCCCGCGGCAACTGATGCAAAACGCTCGTTGGAGACGAGTTAGATGTCGATGACCTTAGAGCCTCGGCTAGTGGTCCGCCCATCGATGTCACTTGGTTCGTTCCCCACGTGGTGACTCGAGCACCAGACTTCTGTCTATCTCCGGTTGAGAGCTTTAACGAGAAGTCGGACGAGGGGTTTCCGGGCATCGAAATGGAGAGGCTGGTGGCAGAAGCCACAGAGCTACCATTGCTTCTGGCATTATTGCCTTCCTCAAGTTGTCTAGGCCAATCATCAAAGAAACAACGAAGGATTTGGCTACTGGATTTACCATCCCCAGTAACATCATTTTGGACTTCCAATGGGCCTTTTTTCTCAATAGTGGATTCTGAGGGCCTACAAAAAATCATGTTAGCCCAGCCCAAATCAAGCAAAAGGCAAAATAAATAAATACACCATTAAGTTAAGTTGACTTATAACAATAGATATTTTTTCATAATAAATTTGACATGATAACGTGATAAATATGATAAAGTAACTTATTATAATCCGTTAAATTATACTACAACAACAAGATACCCAGTATTATCTCACACTGTGGAGTCTGGGAAGGGTAATATGTACGTAGACCATACCCCTACCTTGTGGAGATAGAGAAGTTATTTCCTATAAACCTTCGACTCAGGGTTAAATTATACTAGGCCTATAAAAACATAAAACATGGAAAATCTACACAATATCGTCGCCTCCAAAATAATAGAAAAAAAAATTATATTTTTTATATATTAATGTATAGTAAGCATATAATATACATAATCAAGATATATATTTGACTAGCAGCTGTAATTATTTTTTAGTCTGACCAACTAAATATGTTAATAGCCCAAAAAACATCAGTACATAAGGGGGGCCTATATATGTGCAGAGACACAGAACAAGTGGATGGGGTGAGTCCTACTCAATATGCACAACCAAAAAAGTAGCTCTGTGCCAAAGCAAATTTCAGAAAAAATCAAGAAGGTGGGGTTTGGGGTCCAACTATGAAATTGAAAGTGGACCAAACTATCTTAAATGAGATTCTAAAAATCCAAGAAAAAATCAGTAAGTGGACCCCTACCTGAGTTAGAAAGAAACAATAGGAAAATGTGATAATGGAATTTGAAGTAGATAAAGTCATTTGATCAGGGTATTAATTTATATATTCTTCCTTTTAGGAGACAAGTATCAAATCAACCAATGTTTCTTTAGAGGTGGTAGGGAAAAAGGAGAGGATGGGGGAGAAGAGAATAATACATATATTTAGTCCAATAATAATAATAATAATAAATTTAATGTAATCTCACAAGTGGGATTTGGGAAGGATAACGTGTACGCAGACCTTATCCTACCTTTGAAGGTAGAAAGGTTGTTTCCGATAATACAAATATTTAGTCCCTTTATTTAAAAGTTGAGTTCAATGCTCTTGTCACTTCTGCTAAAAACCAGTCATTTCCTTGTAGAAAGTAAAACTTGCTCTTGGGAAAATGATTAACTTTCATTAAGTGCAAAATTTGTATGAGAAGAATAAGTATGTATAAAGGAATATTGGTCCAAAATGTTGTTTAATTTTAATTAACTCACTAGGGGGGAAAATGATCAATCTAGTGGAGTTATAAATAATGAGGCAATACAGAAAATAGGACAAATCCTTCCCCATGTACAAGAACCAAGACTGACGTTTTACTTTATAAAATTGGAAAAAGAAAAGCACAAAATCCCAAAGAAATAACACAAGGGTATAATCACAACATATTCAAAAACTTCAAAGGTTTAAGTTATATATACGGACAATCCGAATTTTCCAACACCATTCGTGTAATTAACGTGTTATAGCAGATTGTTTACTCTTTTTTCCAATAATGTTTATTATAAGCATTAATTACATGTTATTACAACTTAACCTAATGTGTAAATATATTATGCATTGTGCATATATAACTTAAACTCAATTGTCAAAAATGCATACCTTTGATTGAGATGAAGAAGATCAATAGAAGGTGAAGTTCCGGATAGAGTAAAATGAGGTGCACTAGCATTAAGGACTTCACTGCCGCCACTGTTGGCGGTGTTAACACCGCCAGCAGGGACGGGGGCGGCCATTGTGGTGATTTCCACAGGCTTTCTTGAACGGTTACGGCCGCGGTGGACGTGGCGTTCACAGTATTTATGGCCACTAACAACATCCCTCGAACACCGCCATTTCTTCCCATCAGTTCTCCTACACCTCCCTGGCTCGGGATCCATGCCTGTTCTTCCCCAATATCCCGATTGTACCACTTCATTTATATTTTACACACAAAAAAAAAAAATTGTCAGTACATATATTATAACATAACATAAAAATCGGTTCGAAAAAATATTGGTTTTTATAGCGAATAACTGTTATATAAGTATGTTATTATAGAGAGGTTTGACTGTATTTGTTATAAACAACTATCTGTACTTAAGTCGATGGTGTTACAATATTATACACTGTCCATACACAGAACTTAAAGTAAAGTACAAAATTATTCAAGTGATATACATATACTAAAAGAAATTCCTGATGTATATATATAGTAAGTATATAATAAAAGAAAAGCAATATTCTTGAAAATGCCAACAACAAAAAAATGAGATCAGTTGAGCTGATTGACTTAGGGGAGTACTAGTTTAAACTGATATAAAGGATGGATCTTTAGCTTAAATTTGTTGACAAAAGCTATAGAGCAGAACATATTTTCTTTAATATGTGTTTTTCCATTTTTCCAAGCTTAAAAATCAAGAAAATAAGAAATCACATCAAAATAGCATAGAAGGAGAAAAACAAATATAGGCTTTGAAACATGGAGGGGATAAAAGGGTAGTTTTTCTTAATTTAGTTGGCTGAGAATTATTGACCAACAACAAAAAAAATTCATCATGCATTACTCATTTCTCAAATTTTAAAAAAAGGCAGTCCGGTGCATTGGTGCATTAAACTCCAGCGGTGCGCATAGATCGGGGAAGGATCGGACCACAAGGATCTATTATACACAATCTTACTTTCCATTTATGCAAAAGGCTGTTTCCACATCTCGAACCAGTGACCTCCATGACAGCAATTTTACCAGTAACGCCCAGGCTCCCCTCATTTATCAAAGTATAATAATAATAATAATAATAATAATAATAATAATAATAATAATAATAATAATAATAATAATAGAGAAAACATCAAAATACAGATCCTTTCTCTATACAAACTAAGTATGAATAATTATACAGCAATATATTCTATTTTCACAATAAATTGAAAAGAAAAAGGAGATAATTAACTTACAGGCTTGTTGATAGTGGTGATATTGTTGAAAGGATTGAGGCAAGTAATTATAAGGAGAAGAAGTAATGAGACTTTTCTTAACAAGATGAAGAAGTTCAAGAGGAACAGGTGCACCAGCTAACATATGTCTATAAATCAAAGCCTGCAGTTCAAGTTCTTGCCACTGTGCCAAACTGAAATAACTACTTCCCATTCCTACTCCAAAAAAAAAAAAAAAAAAAAAGAAATAAAGGAGT